ACACACGAGATGATACAGTAGAAAGTCCCTCACCAAACCTCAGACCCTCAGCCTTAGACTTCTGATCCCCTAGAACTCCTGAGAAGGTCAGGAGTTAGAACGTGGGGAGGTCAGAGCAGTGGAACTTAGTGTGTTGACGGATGTTTACAGGGACACTCAAACCTTGTTATAGCACACTTTAGTGACCGTCTATAACATGCTTAAGAGAGAGCTAGCAACCTTTTTACTAATTTGACCAAGGAGTCACCTCAGTTTCCTAAATATTGAAAATAACTTCACAGAGATATAGTATTATGGAGATTTAGTGATGCTATTCATTATAGGAAAGCTGGGGGGGGGGGGCAGACAAGGAGGGACCACGCCCAGCCCCTTTCCTCCTACCTCTTTCTCTGTACAGAGGCCAATCTGCAGAATTCATCACCAAGGACTATTTGAGGTAGAGGAGATTTCTAGGGCAGTGAGAGATAACTTGTCCAAATACTGTCTCATGTTAACCTGGGTCTTAAAAAGAGCTGAGATGTCGCCTCAGGTAAGGACTCAAAAAGACTTCCCCACCGGGCTGCAGGCCTCCCATCCCCTGGCCTCCTCCATAGCAAACTCAGACTTGCAGAAGTCTTTTGGGGTACTGTGACTGTCGTTTATCATGAAGTTGGATCCGTAATTGAATTCTTGGTGCCACCGTCTGTTTCAGAAACAGACGGAGCCCTGTTAGAGACATTCCTGTCTGCGGTGGGTGGGACAGTCTGTTCCTCGCAGCGTTGTGGAGATGAAGCACTTTGGACTTCAGCGTCAGTGACTCAGAGAGAGTGTTCTTTCTGCCTGGGGTAGCTAGCAGCATCACTCACTCCTCATCCCTCTTGGTTGCCTGTGCTGTGAGGACATGGATAGTCATTTTTTCTCTTTTTCTGCCCAGTAAAGTTCTGAAAAAATATCGCTGAGCATCCACAGATTAAATGATAAGGAAAACGTTTAAATGCTCATGTTCCGTGACCCCAGGAGATCACATTCCATGTTGCCTTCCCTCCCCAAACAGACGTGGAGCCGGAAGCTTGCTCCAGTCTGGTTATTGAACATAGGAGTCTGCTGGCGTCATTCTGTTTCCCAACTCTGGGAACTATTTTAGGACAAGGGCACATATATGTGTACCCCACAGGACGCAGGCTAACTTCACACAGTGACTGGAAGTACCTGGAAGGCAGACTTTGACTAAATGCACAGGGAAGTGTCGCCATGCTTTAGATGGGATTGTAATGTGTTCCCTAAGCTCTCAAATGGGAGGTTTGGTTCCCAGTGTTAAGGGGTTGTGGGGTCGTTAAGGAGGTGAAGAGCCACAGAACATGACTGTGTCATTGGGGTTGCTGCCTTCAGAAGAAATGAATGTAGGTCCCGTGGGACCTCAGTTCCCACAAGAGATGGTGACTATAGAAGATCAAGAAGGGCTCCTCCTATGCCAGGTGATCACAAAATGTTCCCCCCACCAGACCATCATCTAACTTCCAGGATATGGCCAGGAGACCAATGTCATCATTACATTTGCACATTCAGCTTCCAAAATTGTAAGATGAAGAAACTTTTTTTTTTAATTTGTAATTGAAACCTCTCTTTGCTGTTGTTGACATATTTCAGCTCAGCCTCTCTCCTATAGCACTTTGTTGTTGGGACAAGGACTCACTCCTAGAGCAGCCTTTAAGTCATGATCCTCCTGCCCCAGTTTCCTGAGTCCTGGGATTACAGCTGCACCATACCTGGCAAGGTCCCTGGCTATGCACAGACTATGTCGTATCATCTGGAGATCTGACTGGAGCTGAAGGCTATGGTTTCCAGATGCCCTGTTTAAATAGCTGGTGCTGTCTGCCCATAAAGTTGGACTGGGGCTGTTGGCTAAAGGCTGTGATTCTGCTCCACGTAGCCTCTGTACACTGCCAGACTGCTTCTCACAGTCTGGTGGTCACTAGTTAGAATCTTACTCTTTGTCTGGCTTCATCTAGATCAGTGGTTTTCAGTCTGTGGGCTAGATCAGTGTTTTTCAATCTGTGGGTCTTGACACACCCACACAAACATACACACAAAAGACCATTGGAAAACACATATATTTACATTATAATTCCTAACAGTAGCAAAATTACAGTTATGAAGTAGCAACAAAAATAATCTTATGGTTGGAGATCACCACATGAGGAACTGTAGTAAAGGGTCAGAGCATTAGGAAGATTGAGAACCACTGCTCTAGACTCAAGAGAAATCATGAGGCCTGGTTAAGGTTAGGAACAGAATTGGCATCGCATGCTTTGGTAACATTTGTTATCAGTGGTCCAAGCAAACTCAGTAAGTCTACACAGGCATGTGGGTATATATCATGGCATGGTTAACTGTTTTCTGCCAGAGTTCTATTCTGATACCCACCTAGCTTTATTGTACAGAAGATCCGCCCTCTCCAGCATATCGAATTGTATGACCAGAGCTGCTTCTTCGAAGTCTACAAACCTCCATTTAAACTTCTTTTCAGCTTCGGCATCTGGTATGACAATGGGTCCCACGCAGTCACAAAACCTGTGCCTCCTGATGGATTGACCTCACCAGTCTCATATTTGCAAGCCAAGCAGAGCCCCAGACAATAATTTCACAGTAAGATAGCTTCCTGAAAGACATAATGCTGTCTCAAGCCAAAGAAGGGCCATCCTTCAGGATGCAGATATATGCTTCGTCCTAAGTCGTTCATTTCGTAAGCGCTGTCTCAGATTCAAGAACACATTACCCTCATCTGTAAACTCTGCTGCAATAAAAAAGGTGGTAAGGAGTTAGACGCTGCTAAATTTACATGTTATGTATTTTGTTTCTTGAATTGCTTTTTTAAAGGTAAACTATCTTTCTTATAAATGTAATATACACTTGTTAAGGCAGATGCATATAGAAAAAACACACAAAGGAAAAACAAAACTTACAGTTACCTATCATTAACTACTCTATTGAAATGATATCTTAATTCAATATTATAAAAAACCTTTACACATGTTTTAAACTTATTGTACATAGTTCTGTCACATAGATGTGTGATCATTTAGCTATTCTGCTAATCTTATTCCTTAATAAATTTTTTTTTTTTTTTTTTTTGGTTTTTTGAGACAGGGTTTCTCTGTGTAGCTTTGTGCCGTTCCTGGAGCTCACTTGGTAGCCCAGGCTGGCCTCGAACTCACAGAGATCCGCCTGGCTCTGCCTCCCGAGTGCTGGGATTAAAGGCGTGCGCCACCAACGCCCGGCTTCCTTAATAAATTTTAATACCACATTCTTATATATGTTTTTCTGTTGAAATCTCCTTTTGAAATGTGTTTTCTTTTTCATGTTTGTGTGTGTGGTGTGCATGTATGTGTATGCATGTTTTTTCATATGTTGGTGGGTAGATGTGCACTCACGCATTTGGAGATCCAAGATTGACACTGATCTCAGGACTCGTCGTCTTCCATCGCTCCTCTGTTGAGGCAGACTCTCTTAATCAAACACAGAGCTCATGGATACTGTTAGCCTGCTTGCCCTGGGGGGACTCCAGTCTTCTTCCAAGCCTGGAATTCCAGATAGGCCACTGTGCCCACCTAGTGGTTAAGGGGTTTCCTCGGGACCTGGATCCCAGTCCTCATATGTGTGCAGCAATCATTTGAACTCTGAGCCATTTCTTTGGCACCTAAAAGTGCTTTTGAAAAATGTACTTCAGACAGAGGTTTTAGTGTACTCATTCCATTCCACAAATGTTTATTGGCACCTACAGGACTTTCAAGACACACTGAGCCTACTAACTTTCTTTGCACTGTGCTAAGTAAGAGTCTATAATCAGCTGGCTAAGCCACTGTAACAAACCATGGCTAACTTGGTACCCTGAACAATAGAGTTTTGGAGGCTTGAAATCCCAAATCAAGGTATCAACAAAGCAGATCACCTCCTAAAGGCTCGGTGGAGGAGCCCTTCCCTGCCTCTTCTTAACTTCCATCCCCAGAAGGCCTTGACCTCCCTTGGTTAGTCCTAGGTAATAATGTCCTCTGACCGCATAACTCCAATCTCTATTCTCCACACGGCCTCCTTCCCTCTCTGTCTCTTTCCCCTCATTTATAAGAATTCTTGCCTGGTGGATTAAGGCCCACCCTGGATCCAGCCCAGATCAGTATCAGTCATGTGATCGCATCTGTGAAGATCTGATTTCCAGGTAAGGCTGTGTTTACAGACTCCAAAACAACAATGCTCCACCCAGGCAGCATCTCACAAAGCTTCGGGAGAGCAGTGCTTTTCTGGAGTTTCGCAATAGTGAGGGTTTTTGTTTTGAGACGGGGTCTCACTATGTAGTTCTGGCTGACCAGGATGGCCTTGAACTCACTGAGATCTGCTTGCCTTCATCCCTCAAGTGCTGGGATCCCTGGTGGGAAGGTGCCACCAGGTGGGGCAGAAGAGTCACACAGTGATAAGGAGCCATATACCCAGTATCCAAAACAAGGTCTTGGACTGGAGAGATGGCTCAGAGGTTAAGAGCACTGGCTGTTCTTCCAGAGGTCCTGAGTTCAATTCCCAGCAACTACATGGTGGCTCACAACCATCTGTAATGAGATCTGGTCTCTTCTGGCCTGCAGGTGTACATAATAAAATAAAACCGGGTCTCCAGCTCCAAGGCCCTGCCCACAAAGGTCAGTCCCTCTTCTGCCAGGAGTGGTGGGGTAGAAGGGTGGTGGGATAGAAGTTTGGTCTGGAGAAACAACTGCTCCCATTCAGAGGCTAATGAAGGCCAGACTAGTGGCTAAGGTCACCTCACTCCTTATTTTTCTCCTTCCTAGAATGGGAAGGAAGCCTTAGAGAGGCTAGAGAGTGGAATGGGGAAGAGGAGGAGAAGAGATTCGAACACTGATTTGAGACATAAGGCATTCTGGGACAGAACTGATTGTGCTGGTGCTGGTGGCCACAGAAGAGGAGCTAGCTGTCAGCTACTGGGACATCCCTTTCCCAGTGAATTCTGCATTCCCGGTGAGGTCACAGTCTGACTTAAAAATACCATCTGTGGAGCCCCTCTGAGTTTATCATTTCCACTTTTGTATCCTGCATCTACAATGCACTGCTCCGAATTTGGAGCTCACAAAAGGCGGGGGAGATTGCCTTTCAGGAGGCGGTGGGCTCAGCAGGCCTCCTGGCAGACAGTTGGGACTTCATTTTCTGCTACCTTCCACCCTAAACTATTTTCAGTACTCATAAGAAGGTGGCAGGGACATTTTTGTTTCCAGTCACTGGCTCCGAATGGAAAGAAAAGCCCCTGAGAATGAGTTTTTTTGGGAGAATCAGGTCCCCTCTTGAAAGAGAAAGTCAGAGTCCACTTTCTGAGAACATGCATGGTCTTCCTGCCTCTGTGTTACCAGAGATGATGGCTAGGAGAGTGAGGGGCACCTGCCATTCCAAGGAACTGGGCTGGGCTGGTCCTTGACTCCTTCTTACATCCCTGGATGCAGGACTTACCTGCCTGGCATTCTTAACACTTCAAGTTCCTCACCTTAGGAGCAGCATGACACCTGATTCTATTCTGACTTAAAAAGCAGGAAGAAAACTCCCTTTCTTAGGACACCAAAGTTTCAGTTCAAGAGATCCACAGAGCACAGTGCTCTGCATGTCTCTCCTGCCCCAGTTTTGACTCAAGAAAGTAACTGCAAAGAGAAGAGCATCAGACTCCAGGAATGGTCCATTGCAAAGGCATGTCAGGAACATGAGGAGAATTTCGCAGGCCAGGGGAATCGGCAGCACACCGTGTGACATGTGTGGCCCCTTCCTTCTGGGGAGGCAATTGCAGGTCTCCTGCTATCCTGTGTACATGCTGCGGAGATGAGGGACAAAGAGCAGGACTGGCCAGGGAGGAGGAGTTTCTGTCTCTTGTGGGAAGTGTCTTAGAGCTGACCATCAGGGTACATGACTTACACCTCTGCGGACAGGAAGGAGTGTCTTAAGGCTGTGGGTCATGCCACCACCAGTTGCCAACCGAAGACTCTGCAGCAGCTGAGAAGCAGCCAGTGAGTGACCCAGCATGCTCGAGCAGAGAACTCTTCTGTACAGTGTAAGTGTTACAGCTCTGAGGAGAAAGACTTCCCCTATGAGAGCGTTACAGCTCTGAGGAGAAAAGTATCCTGGCAGACAGGAGCCAAGGAAGGCCACAAAGTCGCACTGCACAACAAGCCTCACACAGGAGATTTATTCAGAGAGACACAAGAGCGCGGCTGCCTCTGCTTGGGTGAGAAGCAGGAGGGAACTGAGCAGAAGGCAAGCTATCTATAGGGTTGGGGGGATGCTTTCCAGGTGGCCTGGGATTGGAGGGATTATGTGGCCTGATCTTGGGGCAAGCTTGGGGATTGGTAGAATTTTGAGCTCAGGGATTGGTGGGTTTCGGTAAATTTTTCCCTGGACGTGGGCTTGGACCCTTTACCCTACAGGTAGCTGTGAAGAGAGCTGTGACCTGCACAGTAAGAAGCATGGCCAGCTACAGCTCCTTTTCTGGTCACAAGCCTTTCTAGCAGGGCCCTCTTGTCCCCCCACCCCCACTTCTTACAGATACCCCCAGGGTACAAATAACAAGGACTCTACATGGTCCACGAGCTAAGATAGACAGCTAATGTTTGGAAGGTGACTGACTGTCAAATCCGGTCCTCCTCAAGACCCTTACTTAGTTCCTGGGTTTGTTTATGGAGTTGGGAAGAGAACTTTGGAGATCCCACGACTCATGCTTTCAAGCAGATATTGGATCTGTCAGCAGGAAATGACGTGTAAGGGCCGGGGTTTCTCTTATTAAAGTATGTATGAACCGAGCTATAAGGAGAGAAGCAGAAAGAAGCTGGGAGGCAAGAGATGCTCTGGTACCCTAAAGGGAAGTCTGCAGAGGTGAGTGAGGCAAGCACGCTGAGGTAACCAGGGGAGAGCCATGCTGAGATGAGGTCAAGGAGAGACACCACCACTCCCAGCATCAGAAGGGAGCAGCAGCCTGAGCCAGGGCAGCAGCAGGAGTCTGAGAACCATTCGGCCACCCGCCCCTGGAAAGCCTTCTGCAGACACACTGGGAAGCTTCCTGCATTCACAGTGGGATTGCTTCCTCCCCTCTGGTTAGCTGTGCAGGAGATGGGCAACCTTCGGGGTTTCATGGAGACTCCAGTTGGGTACTAGGAAGACGGAGGAACTTAGGGTGTCTCCCTGGATGCTCACTGAACCTGGAGAGGCACATGGTCCTGGGAGTTGGATTTTCCCGGGTACTTGAAGTTTTCTACTTGATCATTTCAGTTTCTAAAACCCGCATTGTTTTAAAGGTGTTGTCAAGAAATTTGGATGGATTCAACAATTTACTTTTGTTTTTGTAACTCTTGTATTTCTGGTTTTGTCACTGCTGTCCTTCCTGATTTTTTTTTTTTTTTTTTTTTTTTTTACATTTTTTCTAGTTTCTGGGGCTTAACCTTCAGTTTACTGATCCCCCATGTGTCAAATAATATAGTCTTTTAGAACAAGTTTTTCACTTGAGGATAACTCAGTCCAAGAACTTGGGATAAGCCATTTGTAAAAGCTGTATGCTCTAAAATAGATGTGACTACAAGATGACTCCTTCCATTAACCAAAGCATCCATGAAAATTTTCTTCACTCGAGGTTTGTTTAACTTGGAAAGAAATTTGAAAATAATCTCAGAGCCTGCACAGACCTCAGTACCATTCCCAGAGAGACATCAGAGGAGAGAGATACAGCCAACCTAGGTGTGTAAAGAACGATGTAGAGTTGGCAAGGGCATTTAAATCTGGAGA